ATGATTGAAACCAAGCTATGGAGACGGTTATGATTGCTAAAGTTATGAATTATTCGTGAAAATATCACCAAGTAATCTATTACCGCCGTACTTTTACAGCTAAATCGTCTACCACTACAGTAGACTCAAAGACCTTGACAGTGACAAACGTTCAAATAGAACATACATGACTATTGATGGTTTATCAGTGCTGATTGCTATTCGTCCGTTCAGTGTGTAATATAATATAGAGCATAGTTTGTGATTTGTACAATGAGCAAAAATAATAATACAATAATAAAGTGATACTAATTCCAAGGCCCAGCAAGGAATCATGAGGTACGCATCAAGCAGTGGCAACAACTTCACGGCAAACTGGACAGCTACGATTACTCTGTTGAAAAGAACAACAACTTAAACTTCAATTTAACAAATTGCGCACGGTTTTGAGTTGTATGTCCTCTTATTGACACACTCTAAACAGCCAATCAGCGCGCGAGAATTTACACAAGTGTGGTAAAATGTATTATATATGGCTATTAAAGAAAACGTGCGTGCATCCGGTTTATTCTTAACAATAACCGACTGAACAATAACCGCGTGAACAATAACCGACTGAAGAATAACCGACTGAACAAGAACCTATTGAACAAGAACCGACTGAACAAGAACCGACTGAATGGATAGAAAACGATGAATACTGAAAATAGTGTATTCAAAGACTGCAATGCGTTGCTGATCGTTCTATCGCCGTTGAAAGGGAGTTTTTGTGTGTTGTCATAGTGACTATATCAGCTCCAAACAAAAACTTCAATGGAACCCAGCTAACGTGGAGTTTAATGGCAACAATGCATTGCGGGCTTGGAATTCACTATGCAGTTTTCAACGTTTTCTGAAAGAGATGTATAAGGGGACGACTCTCTCTCTCTTGACTTGCATGGAAGGAGCTATGATGGTTTGCTCGTTTCAATAGCCTCTCGAAATTAACCATGCTAGAAACGAAAAAYAGCATTCCAAAACATACCAAATTGTATAATGTCAATGACCAAATAAACAGCGATATATAAGAAATTTATGTTGTAACAAATGTATGACTGGGTTGTTTACACTGTTGTAGTACCCAGGCTTCTCCTCGTGATACATACCCTGAGCCATCTGTCAATGCACTTAGAATGGAAGTCATGCGTACAAGGCAGTTTCCTTAGCTTTTCTCTGTTTGTGTAATCCATCATACACACTACACAGCTTCCATTAGACATCTCTTTATTACTAGCACTGTACCGGAATGATGGTATACGGTCGATAGCTGTTAAAATATTACAAGCTTAGTTAAAACTATCATCGAATACAATAACTCGTGACCTACACTAAGAAAAATACTTTTGACGTTTTCTGTTTTTCTTACACTAATTCCACACTGATTTCCAGTTTGTCGACAAAAAATACAACCCAGAGTGAACTGGGACCAATTTAGTCTAGTTATTTCTATGTATCAAACATTATTACACTTTGGTTATTACAGTTTGTTTCACGGGTTTATGATAACTGCTTAGCCCTGTTGGAATGACCGCTGTTGAATCAAAAAATGCTGTCTTAAATGTGAAAAGCTACTCTGCGAACAGAGCTACTTTTCTCCCCCGCTTCTCAGTAGTGAAAAGCATACAGTAATATATAAATATTATTCAAGGGAGCAAAAGCACTTGCCTTCTTTATTTAGTCCTCTTGACTTGGCAGGTCCAATACGCTCGCTTAAATTCCATAAAGCCTAAAGAGAACAACATTGATATCACTCAACTTATACAGTCTTCGCGCTGGTGCTCGATCCATTTTTCWTCCGAGATGTAACCATTTGATGGACTTTTTGTGTATTATCAATTCTCGTACCCAGACCCTACTCTCGCGGCCTCTAGCGGCCTGTCGTAGGCTCTGGGACACTCTATAAACCGGAAGCAAGAAATATTGCTTCCGGTTTATGCTCTAAGCTCTCTCTCCAGATTCTCTCAGAATGTTTTTTTCCCCCGGGTAATCGCTGCTAAAGACAGGACTATAAACAAGCTAGGCTTCCTTTGCCGCTAAAATAACCGTTAACWCTAGCGTTCTGGAAGTTTTGAATTTTCTTCTACTACAAATATCCTTTTTTGTCAAATCGTTTCTTCATAAAATCATTGGGAATTATGGCAATTTTTGAGCTTTGATCGTGCTTAAAAAAACAGTTGAAATACGTCTGTGAGGTCAAAGGAGTTGACGGCCGTCGTTGATCCCGGCTGATCAGTTCTTCAGCGAGAAATATCACTTTACTTGAGACCTATTTTTACCTTGATTTTTTGTACCAAAGTTCGATGTCGCAAAGAAAGATGACAGGTTTTTATTTCACCTAGGTCAAGAGGACAGAATAGGCAAGAATATTTACGAAAAACGTACCAATATATATATAAAAAATACAAATATTTGAATTTTTAATCGCGATTACAAGCTTGTCCGTTTGTTATTTGAATTAGCTAATCATGTGGCTTGAAATTACAGGGTGTCCCAAAGCCTTTGAATTTCGGTTGGAAGATGAAAAGGGTCTGGGTACGAGAATGGTGTATTATCRTACGTTYGTTCACAGCTTTTTACATTACATATAAAAGTCATTAACAATCCATGAACCATTAYTCCAATAAGGGCTGTCTATTTGGTCTTRACCTTRTAAATCTGATACAACACTAGTRTTGCATCAGATTTACAACAAGGTTGTCACCATTGAGACAACCCAACACTAGCAAAGGTCTCAGTTTAAATATCGCATCATAGA